ACTATGTGATTTCACTTATATGTGGAATCTAAAAAGTGGAACTCATAGAAACGGTAGAATGGTGGTTGCCAGGGGCAGGGGGGTGGGAGAAATAGGGAGATGTCGCTCTAAGCTCACAAACTTTCAGTTATACAACAAATAAATTCTGCAGACCTAACGTACAGCATGGTGACTTTAGTTCATAATAAGACTCTAGATCTCCAGTGTTCTTCACACACACACACGGTAACTAGGTGAGGTGATAGATGTATTAACTAACTTGATTGTGGTAGTTATTTCACATGTACACACAAGGGTACTTCAAAAAGTTCATGCAAAGATTTGCATTGTCTTTTTTTTTTTCCCCCCTTTTTGTCTTTTTTTCGTGACCGGCAACGGATCGCAACCCTCAGTGTCGCGCCCGTACCGGACCGGGACCGGCAACGGGATCGCAACCCTCGGTGTTGCTCCTGCACCTCGCTCAGCCAGTGAGCGGCCGGTCTGTATGTGGGATCCAAACCCTCGGCAGGAGCGCTGCCGCGCTTCCCAAGCGGCGCACTGTAGCAGTGTGCCACCGGCCGGCCCCGAAGATTTGCATTGTCTTTTAATTCTATTTCTCCACAAACTTTTTGAAGTACCATCCAGTGTGTCAGTGTGTATCACATCATCACTTTGCACACCTTAGTTTTATACAATTGTATTTGTCAACCATACCTCAACAAATCTAGAAGAAAAGGAATACAGGAAGGAAAGATTAATAACTATAAAAAAGGTTTTCATTAAGAGCTATGTCCCATTATAACCTGTAAAGTTATTTGATAGCTTTATGCAGTTTACAACATGCACTAAATACAAATAAAGAGCAAATAAAAATAAATACTACACATAAAGAAACCCCACTGTGAATGTACTTAACACTACTAAACACTACACATAAAAAGGGTTAAGATGGTGAATTTTATATTTTATCACAATTAAAAAATTTTTTTTAAACTTCACAGGAACCAATTTAAAGAACTCTTGTTGGCCTAAGAATGGACAACTGAAGCATCACAGTAAACAATATTTGCAATTAGTACACAAAAATATGTAAAATTCCATGGTTTCACAATACTACACAAAAAATCTTTAAAAAGAAAGGAAAGAAAACCTCATTTGTCACTATTTATTTCTTTATTATGGTAAAAAACACATAAAATTTACCATCCTAACCATTTTTAAGTGTGCAGTTCAGTAGTGTTAAGTATATTCACATTGTTGTGAAACAGATCTCCAGAACCTTTTCATCTTGCAAATTCTGAACTCTGTGCTCATTAAACAACTCCCCTTTTCCCCCTCCCTCCAGCCCCAGGCAACCACTATTCTACTTTCTGTTTCTTTGAATTAGACTACCTTATTTATTGTTTATTGAAACATAATTGATTGTATGTATTTGTGGGGTACAGTATTCAATATCAATATCTGTGTGCAGTATCTCACTGGTTACTATTGGAGGTTAATAGGGCACCAATACATTTCTTTGAAAATGGATAAAATAATTTTCCTTTTCCCCACCTTTCCTGTATAAACTGATTTTGAGAGTAATAGTTAAATGAGAAAGTTCTTTATAGAATTTCAGTCAAAGAGCAGAGAAGGAATTATAGAATTAGGAACTCGCCATTTTGCAACCCTAAATGAAATAATTGATCTCAGCATGTTCATCATGGATGTTAAAACCATTAAATGAAAGGTTGGAGGGGAGCTTGGCAATAAAGGGATCAGAGGGATCTGATTGACTCTACTTAAACCCACCTATCATCTTAGCATCACTAAAGTGGGACTGTGAATCTTCTGACATGGAGCTGCAGGAAATACATAGCACCACATAAACTAACTGAACTTGAACCTACTCAGCCTTTAGATCTAACTACCAATTTAAAGGCAATTTGAGTGATATAAGAACAGTTCAACAATACTGCAAGGAAGCAATCAACCAAATTCAGAATGTGGGACATTCCACAACACAAATGACCCAGTTTCTACAACAAACCAATGACTTAGGGAAAAAAATGGGGAGATGTCCACTAAAAATATAAATGTAAAGGACATAACAGCTAAATGCAATGTTGTGCTTAGCTTGGATCCTAATTCCAGTAAACCATTTTGAAGACAATTGGGGAAATTTGAATATAGACCGGGCCTTAGATGTTATGAAAGAATTCTTTTGTTAGATGTAAACTGAAGATTTCTTCAGTCTTAAAAAATATTTTTAAACTATTTTAATGGTCTTTTCTGATAATACAAGTAACACTTGTTCATTGTAGAAAAATTGGACAATATAGAAAGAAAATAAGAATATATAGTTACCCAATTCTTCAATGATTTGAAGATAATCATTGGTCATGTTTAGGAGTATTTTCTTGTAGTTATATATTTATATGTTTTGTTTTACCTCTAGTGCACAGGATCAGGTTGGTGATAATCTTTGATTCAAGACACACTGTCACCATTGGTTCTCTTTTATTTAACTATTCAGTTTATTTTTAATGGTATATTAATTTAGAGTTTATTAAGGAATAAACCCTGTGACTCACCACCCACATGAAAACTAAAGTCTTGACAATAATGTATTTATCCATGTGGCCATCCCAGCCCCCACCTCTCCCGCTCTCGGTAACCAGCATCTTGACTTCTGTGTCCATCATCCTGCTGCTTCCCTTTTGAGTATATATTTTGCTTTAATTTATAAAAGGTTATTGATATAAACAATATATTGCTAAGATTCATTCACATTGTTGCAAGAGGCTATAGTTCACATAATATTCTATCGTGACTTCACCACAGTTTACTCATCCACTCTCCTGTCAATGGGTCTTTGGGTTTTTCCCAGGTTTCTCCTGGGAACAGTGCTAAGAGGATCATTCTTGCACATATTTCCCGGTGTACTTGTACAGGAGTGTCCTTGGGCATATACCTAAGAGTGGAATTGCCAAGTCAAAGAATGAAATACGTTTACAAAATCAGACCATACTGTTTTTGAACGAATAAATTAATCTCCACATGAAGATAGAGAAAAGATAAAAACAATTAAAGTTAAAATTAAACATCTGTAAATACCACTCATGGCTTCACTTATGCTATTATCTTCATCTGACATAATTTGCTTATTTTCTACCTAGTTAAATTCTATATTTTAAGTTTCACCTTAAGATTCACTTCTCACATGTAGCCTTTGCTATTTAATTCACTCCACAGTGTTATTCCTCTTTGAATTTCCTCAGTACATATATAAGCTACACTATCCCATCATTTCATTGTTTTTACAGTGCCCTGCAACTTATTCTTTAGGTTACCTATAATTTCATCCTAACATGAGCTTGTAATTTTTAAAACTTGAACGACACATCTCAGCTCCACCATATTAATTACTACTACTCAGTCAAAAACCGGCAAAGGAGAGTATAACTAATTATATGTTTGTAGAGAAAATTATAAATAGAAGGGCAAGTGTAATTATTTAACTGTAGGGCCGGCCCGGTGGCGCACTCGGTAGAGTGCGGCACTTGGGAGCGCAGCGGCACTCCCGCCGAGGGTTCAGATCCCATATAGAGACTGGTCCACTCACTGGTTGAGTGCGGTACGGGCGAGACACCGAGGGTTGCGATCCCGTTACTGGTCACGAAAAAAAAAAGAAGATAAACAAATGAGATAAAATACACCCACAGTTGATGCCCTTTGCCCTCTCACCCGAGGTTAGCCTAGCAGGGTATTTCTTCCCTGTAGCTGAGGTTTGTAAGCTGCTACCCTATGAAAGGCAGCCTGAGGGTGGACCTACTGCATCTCCTTCTCTTTTGCCTCAACTACCTGCGCAGCCCCCAGATGTACTTGGCATTCAGATTTTATTTAAATAAAGGGTTTTGATAATAAATGTGCGCACTTGCCTATACACTACACACACAATACACATGCGTCAGCTGATGGTATTCATTCTATTGTGTGCTGTCTTATGCTCTTCTCCTATTCCCAAAGGCCAGAGTTAAGATAGGTTACAGGTACAACACCAGGCCCTAGCTCTGCTGCTTTGAGACCATCTCTAAATAGGCAGGAATACTGTTTGAATATTATTATAAAGTACATACAAACCTTAGTGTAGAAATATTTTATGGGATTAAGAGGATAATATAATTATTCATCTAAGTTATATTAAGAGAGTCCTGAATATAGGCACTAGTAAATCACTAATTCATTTTTGCCACTAGAAAGCAGGTATAACTATTGTGATATAAGGCCTGCTTGCTTGCAACTTAAAAGTGTACTAAGCCGTGGAAGAGGAAAGTGGTTCCTTGGCTTCTGTGTACTTGGATGTATGTTGTGCATGCTTCACACATGGCAGAAGCCTGGCCATCTTGCTAGCTGTTGAGCTTTGGGATCCATTCTGACTGCTTCTGCCAAATGAGGCTGGAGGTGTGCCATTTACATGGATACAAACATTCCCATTGCCTTCATCCATCTCCCAATACTTTGTTCCTACTGATGACATCAATTAGGTGTTGGATCTCAATGAATCTACTTCTATGAGACTGAGATCCTTAAAGGCCAGGACTGTGCATTAGTGATCTTTGCACCCCTAGCACCTGGCGTACGCTTAGCACACGATAAAACACAATAATTAGATGGGAACCAGAAAATATGAGATCAAATCTCAGAAGTCTCTTGCTCTATCAGATACTTTATGTTTAATTATTCATTCAACAAGTATGTGGGAGCATTCTATGTGTGAGGTGTTGCACTATGCCCTGGTCATGTAACTTCTGAATAGACTATAAGTCAGGGAACATCCAAACCTAATATGATTCAGCAGGAACCACCAGATTCTTAGTGGAAAGAGCTTCGTAGGGAATATCTACTTTCCTCTCTTGTAAAGAATAACTTGTGGGGCCCAAAACTTAATTTTTCTCCTTTCACTCTAGGGCCAGGAAAGAAAGGAGAGAAGACACATAATATATCCAGGTTCCACAATCATTACACTCAACAGAATATCATAATAAGAACGAAATAATAAACTTTAATTTGAATATAATACAATTGAATATAAGAATTCTTTTGAAGTACAAAAATAATTGTAAAATATTTTTTCCATTTCCAATAATAATATGCTACAGACTATAAATAGTACATTGATGCTGTGAACTGCACACATTACATAATAATCCTAAGACTGGGCCTTTCTCTCTTCTGTATCATCACATATAAGAAAAACAGTCATGCAATCCTACTCTGCAATCCTGAAATCCTGTCAAGACATTTCAGAAGAAGTTATCTTTAACAACAGAACTGGAAGATACCTATCTTTAAGCTAGTCTATATGTTTTTTGGCTCAATTGTATAGATTAAAAACTTTTTTAAAAATTAGTCTAAAATTCTGCTATCTTGAAAAATGTATGGGAGAATCAAGAGTGTTAAATTGAACAAAAGCTCATTTAAAAGCAAATCATCGTCAGTGGAAAAGCTTTTCAAGTATAGGAAATTTGAAAGTAGCAATTCACTGGAAGACAAGTTTGATTGCCAAAAGCTACTGAGGAGTTCCATCTGTCTTTTCCACTACTATGTTTCCTAATATTTTAAGTGAGGTAAGAATAACAATAATAATTCTAAAAATTATAGCAGGTTCTGTCCAGATTTGACCCACTTAGTGTTTTAGATGCTGAGAACCAGTTATTACTGAAAAAGTAGGAAAAACATAATGAGGAAACAGAGAAGCTTTGACATATGAAAAATGATGTAGCTTTGTTTCCTGGAATTCAGTTATCCAGGCCAGTTTATTTTCATTTGTGCTCTGAGCTGATTCAAACTGGGTCTAAGATAAAAGATTTTTAACAACTGGCCATCTTCCTGAGTAGCACTGAGAGAACCCCTTCACCTGTCCAGAGGTAAAGGCTATCTCCAGTCACCGATCTTCCCTCCTTGGCTGCTTTCACTCCTGCTGTGTCCCCATTTCCCTTCTATACAACTCGTTAATCCACAGTGGGATGTTGGGGATATAAGTGGAACCACTGTCGCCATGTTTACAGGAATTCTTCTAACTTTAGTGCCTCAAGGAGTTCTGACTTTCAGTTCTCTTCCCATCCATTCTCTGCTGGATAGGGACGGCACCGTACTTTCTAGACCTGGAACACTGCGTTCCTTAAACTAATAGAAAAAGTTATATGGTGTAGAAACAAAGGTAACCTGATGTATAAAAAGACGTGGGTCTATTTTCGGAAAATAGATTGTGAGCCTAAGAATGCTCAGTTGTACAGTAGGTTTATGTTGTGAGAGCTTAGAAACATGGGACTGGAATATGACTTAGGACAGAGTCCTGCCATTAGGAGGTCCCTCAAAGAGCTCTACACAATGCATGTTTTATTATCATTACATTAATAAATGGCCACAATGCATATATATATATAATCTTTGTAGCCCTCCTTTCAAAATTGATGTTTATTCAGCCAGACATATTAAGAAAAAAACATAACCTGCTTCATTATCTAAAATATAAGGGTACTTCAAAAAGTTTGTGGGGAAAAAAAGAATTAAATGATAATATAAATCTTTCCACATATAACAGAAAAGTGACTAAAGAAATTTGTGTACTTTGTTTCCTAAATGCCTTTATAGGTGTCACACAAAATTTTTCCGTAGTACTTACCTTTTTAGAAACTGCAATATTCATCTTACTCCACTGTAATATGTTATTTTCATCAACAATTCAATTACTGAAACAGTAATCCCATAAGCTTATTATCTATTAATGACTAGACAGTTTGATACAGGGTGTTACTGCCATTATTAGAATCACACAGCTAGTTGTAACCTCTATTCTCCTGAGATTCAGAGATGCATTACAAAACCTTTTATCCCCACTAAAATGAGATAATGTACATACTTGGCTAAAAATAAGGTGATAGAAGATGATGGTGATTCTTGAGCATCAGAGACATTTGTTATTGCGGGTAGAAGAAAATGCCGTGAAACACTAACATAAGAAAAAGTCATGCTGTTCTTGTATAATTCAGTAAATTACATAAGAGTACTCTGAGTATTTTTGGAAGAAAGGCACCAGGTAAGTCCGAAGTCTTATTGCTAGTAGGATCATACAGGGGCCATGGCACAGACTACGGTGCTGTATTCAGCCAGGAGGCTAGGTCTAAACAAGTCAGTCAATGATCTGGAGGATTGGAGAACAAGGAAGGAAAATGTCAATAAAATAGAGCCCTGCATCTTACACTAAACTTGAGGAAAATGATTTCTAATTCTTTGTCAAAGCGGAAGCTGGTCCCTAGGACTCTGGAGCTGTTTCAGACAGACACTCTGTTTTCTTTGGCCCATTTCTTCATGATCCGGATGATGTACTCTACTTGCGTGTTACCTGTGCTTCTCAGTAAATGGAGAACTTCTCGAAGGGTCTCTCTGCGGACAAGATGTGAAAGGACAAAATGTTTCAATAAAGAATGAAAATTAACAAATAAAATAAACTCATAATTGTTCTTCATATTGTACTTCTCCTACGGCGTTTTTGGTAATAGATCCCTCCACTGTGCATTCATAATCTAATTACAAACTTCCCCACCTTCTATTCTTATGGTGTAGTAAAATAGAAGTTCTGTGAAATCCTGCTCACTAACCCAAGTTTTCATTAGCTATACTATCTATATACATACGATCAATACTTTTGTCCTCTCTGAGATGACCTAAATATTACCATTTCTATACTTATTCTGTGAGACAGAGTAGAAAGGGGATCTCTAGGAGCTGGGTTCAAATTCTAGCCCTGTTGCTAACAAGTCACTTAATTTGTCTGAGTCTTAGATTTCTCCCTAGTTTAAGGTGATAATCACTACCACTTGTCAAATTTTACATAGTTGGAGGAACAGGTGATTTCTTCAAGAAAAACAATACATTAATAAATACGGAAGAGAAGAACATTAAAGACTAAGATTTGGCAAATGCCCAGCATTTATATTTTAAGTAATTTAATTAAAATTAAAACATATTTTAAGTAATGCATACTAAAACTTCCCTATAGCCTAAGCAAATCTATAGGTGACAGCCTGTGAATCAACTACCCTAAGAGTCTTTTCAAATTCTCTACTTCTTCCCCACAACTTCTTTCACCTAACCAAATGCTTCTAAATTTTTATTTAGGACTGGAAGTAGATAAAAGGAAGGAAGTCGTTTTTGACAGATTATTTACTTGCAACATTATCGCATTTCCTATTCATACCTCAATAACAAACACATTCCATGAAGTTATTTTTAGAAAACTGAATTTAGTTTTAAGTGTTTTAATTTTTGTTTCCAATGCAGCTGTAAGCCACTTAATTTTATGTAATCTAATGTCTCAGTATATCCTGGAATATGAGAAGGCAAAAGAAAAAAAAAAAAAGAATTATCAACCACAGCCTCTCCATTCCTAATTCTTTGAGGCCTAAACTAAAAGATACAAGAAAAAGCCAATAGGCAAAGAAAAGAGTAGAAGAGTGAAAAAGATCATGTTTATGAAAATGGCTATTCATTTGGCACCAAACATACAATTTGCTCTTGCATTTGAGAGCTGTAGTATACGCAGTGTCCCCAGTATACATGATTTAGAATGATCTCATGCTACACAGTAAAACATTTTTTGAGGAAAATAGTCAGAAATACTTAACATCTTAACATTTTTTTCATCATTCTAAAACATCATTATAATATTGAGTTTTCAGAAGATATCACCCAAGAAAATAATTATTTTCCCTCACAAACCAGCAAATGAATAGAGTTAATATCTCTTGTCTGGTTACTTACTTGGGTTCTCTCCCAGCTAAGATCATCTGGAAAATGCCCACACAGGCACCCCTTTTGCCTTCCCAATATTCAGGGTTGGGATCCAGCCTCTCTAAGACATCAAAAGCTTTGGCTGAATAGTAAAACTGGCCCATCTGAATAAAAGAAAGTATTATGGTAATACTTGTGGCCAAAAGATAGCACAGAATGAAACTAAATATAAAGATAACATGAAACAGAACTGTATGCAATAAGTGCATGGGTAATGACAATATTTTCAGTTAGCAAGTTAGATAAATTTCAATTCCTAACTAAAACAAGAAGGAAAATCACAGTTTGGGTATATAGGTTCAGTCTAAACCAGCTTACCTTCATTCAGTTTTCAACAATATAACATTTTCTGTACATATAGTCAAGTTATGCTATAATCAACACATCTATCATTTCTTCTAATTATATTCTAATCTTGAGAAAATAAATTCTGATGAGTTTGAGTTCATTATTCCTCAAGATTCTTCGATACATTCTTTTTAGATGACTGTTACCAGTCACTTTATGCTAATCTTGCTCACATTAATCTGAAGAGGGTAGTCTTTCCCGGATCTTGTTCCTAAACTCTCAGAATGCCTAGATGTATACTGACTACTTTTATAAACATTAAATCTTTTAAATATTTAATTCATTTTGACAGACATCTTTCCCAAATATTCTACACATTTCCTTGGCATCACAGAACATGCTAAATATCATTAAATTTGGTTTGGATGAGTTTTCTTGATTGGCAGTCATAAATGCACAGTTATCATTTCACTTAAGGCTTTAAATTGCTGGGCAACACTCTTTACTCAGTGTATTTCATTACGTCTCTATTCCTGCTAACTATTTTTCTAAACCTCTGACTTTCCTTAGGACCTCTCCTGCATTCTTAGCTTAGCTTTATACTTTCTATACTTCACAGAGAAGACACAACTTTCCTCTCTTCAGTTCAAATTATACTTACACTTTCACTCATCCTTCCCTCATTTTTACCTATCTCACAAGAAGAGTTCTTACTCTTTTCAAGGTTAATCCTTCTATCTGTTCTCTTTAAAACATTTTTTTATTATGGAATAACACACATATAGAATGGTGGATAAAACATATATGTACAGGTTACTGACTAATTATACTGTGAATACAAATGTACCCACCACTCCAGTCAAGGCACTGAGAGAAAAACCAAAGCTTTCCATGAATCACTTCCAGATCCCCCACCTTCCCCACCCAGAGGAAACTACTATTCTGACTTTTACGGTCATTTTCTTATAGTTTTATCTCCTGTGTATACATCTTCACACAATATAATTGAGTTTTGCCTCTCATAACTTTATCTACATGAAATAATACTGTTAATATGAGTATTCTTCAGTGTCTTGCATCTATGACTCAACATTATGTGTGTAAGATTCATCTGTATTGCTGTATATAGCTCTAGTTGGTTCATTTTTTAAAAAACTTTTTATTTTGAAATAATCATAGATCCACAGGAAGTTACAAAGATAGGACAGGGGTCCCATGTACCTTTCACTCAGGTTCCCCCAATGGCTATAGCTTACATAGCTACAGTACAATATAACAGTATCAAAACCAGGAAATTGACATTGGTACCATGTGTGCTGATGATAGTTCTGTCATTTCATCACACGTGTAGATTCACGTAACTACCACCATCATCCCTCCCTGTTCACTACCCCTAACCTCTAACCACCACTAATATGTTCTCCATATCTATAATTTTGTCATTTCAAGAATGTTATATATATGAAACCATACAGTATAGGGCTGGCTGAATAGCTCATTTGGGAGAGTGTGGTGCTGAGAACACAACGTCCAGGGTTCAGATCTCAGTACAGGCCAGCCACACAAAAAAAGAAAAAAAAGGAAAAAAGTTTAAGACCCTTTGAGATTGGCTTTTTTCACTCAACATAATGTCCTTGTTACTCCTTGTTAATCTAAATTACTGTATCAATAGCTTGCTCCTGTAATGGTCACCCTGCAAAAGCAGGAGGGAACCCCACCCAAAGTTTGGTTTCGATATTGAGACTGATGATGCCACAGAGACACCAAAAGGGTATGAAAAGGTTTCTTACTTACATAATTGAGGTGTCTAGGGAGAGTAGAGCAGGCCTCTCAAGCAGGTCCAAAACAGCCTGAGAGAGCAAGGAGAGGGGACTGGCCTGGGTGTTACTGTGGTTAGGGTGGGCCTGGGGTAAGGGTTCCCAAGCATGGGCAAGGGCATGTGTGGTTTGTATCACCTGATGGCACCAAAGAAGGGAGCACCCAGGCTGTCTTATCATTTTTCCCAGGTGTGGGGCACAAGAGGAAGAGGCAGGGATGTCAGCAAACATCAAGAAATGGAGTCAGACTCCTCATTACCCTTCTTTTTGATTATTTAGTAGTATTCTATGCCAAAGCAGTTTAACTATTCACCTGTTAAAAGACTTGTGTCCAGTTTTAGGCTATTACAACTAAAGCTGATATTCACATTTGTATATTAAAATTTGTGCTATTAACATTTATATATTTGTGTGGATATAGGTTTTCATTTCTCTGAGATAAATGCACAGAGTACAGTTGCTGGGTCATATGGTAAGTGAATGTTTGTTAAAGAAATTGTCATATTATTTCATGGTATATTTTTTTCCATTCTTTTACTTTTGACATATCTATATCATTATATTTGAAGAGAATTTCTTGTAGAGAACACATAGCTAGGTTATGGCTTGCTATTCACTCTGTCTATATCTGTCTTCAACTGGTGTATTTAGACCATTTATATTTAATGCAATTATTGATATATTAGAGCTTAATTCTGCTATTTTTTCCCTATTTGTTCACTCTATTTCCTGGACAAGATTATCTCACATATGTCCCCACAGTTTGCAGGTGGAGAAAGACAAGACCATGTGATCCCCAAAGAGGGAGGACAAGACAGTCTGTTTGACTTCTCTAGTCTTCACCTATACATACCTTTTTCTTGCTTTCCCTGCACTATAATGAATCTTAGCCATGAGTATAATTTTATATTGAGTCATGTGAGTCCTTCCATTGAATCACCAAACTAGTGGGTGGTTGTGGGATCACTGACACACTAGGTAATGTCAAATTGTTTTCAAAGTGGTTATCTGCCTTTGATCTTAACCTGTCTGTCCTTTCCCCCATCTCCTTTAAGGGCCTTATTTCATCAAAAATGCCCCCACTCTCTCAACTCTTTAATTTCCCTATTCAATGGCTCCTTTTCCTCTGCCTACAGATATACTTTCACCCTCCATTCTAAAAGAACTCTCCACTACCATCCGCCCCTAAATCCTAAACCCTGTTTCTCCTTCTATGTTTGCACCACATTTTTCTCCTTATCCTCAATATCAGTTTTTTTTTTGTTTGTTTTTTTTTTGCAGGCCAGTACAGGAATCTGAACGCTTGACCTTGGTGTTATCAACACTGTGCTCCTCAAGCATTTCTATCTAGCTGCAGATTTGACACTCTCCTTCCTTGGCTTTTGGGAAAATAGAAACAAGAAAAAGAGTAATGAAAGCATGTTTCTCCTTCTATGTTTGCACCACATTTTTCTCCTTATCCTCAATATCAGTTTTTTTTTTTTTGCAGGCCAGTACAGGAATCTGAACGCTTGACCTTGGTGTTATCAACACTGTGCTCCTCATGCATTTCTATCTAGCTGCAGATTTGACACTCTCCTTCCTTGGCTTTTGGGAAAATAGAAACAAGAAAAAGAGTAATGAAAGCATTTTTTTTTTTCTTCTGGTTCTTTTCTTTCCTCTCTGCTCTGCTACTCTGCTGCTGCTGCTATGAAGATGATGACAACAACTACTACTATTACTTCTATTACTATTACCATCACTAAGTACTGTTAACTGCTAAAGCTACACCTCTAATCCTGATCTCTCACATGAATACTTGAGCTTCAGGCTCGCCCTGATAATTTCCTACTTGTACTGTCTCTGCTGGAAGCCCCAGAGACACTTCAGATTTAATACATCTAAAACTGAAATAATTTTCTGTCATTTAATATTTTCTCTCCCTTTACCTCCCCTAACTTATTTAATAGTATTGCCATGTACCAAGTCATGTTAAACTATCATTTTCAAGCTTCCTATGTCTTCAAACCTTTTCCATTGATGGTGATTCACTTCTTTTGATGGATAATGATTCAGTTTGAAATGAGCTATTGTTGATTAACACTAGATTCTCTTTACCTGATGTTTTCCTGTCTTTTGGACAGGAGGAGATATTCTAAAAATAAGAATTTCCAGAATTTGAGGCTAATTTTGTAAAGAGCTCAATCTATAGGACAGAGCCCCAAACTACTCCCTCCTCCCTGTCTTTCCAACTACACACACACACACACACACACACACGAGTCAGTCCTCTACTGAACCTGACTGCTTGCTTTTTTATTCTCTTTTTCTGGTTCCTTTGTTCCTTTGTCTTGCCTGTCAAGGTTTGGTTTGCAACTCTTTCCACTTTACTTCCTCACCTGGGCAAGTCACTGTTGTTCATGGCTTCAGTTACTACTTCAGAATTTATGATGACTCCCAATCTATGCTTCTAGATGTCAGAGAACATCTTTCTTGAGCTTCAGAACCAAATATTCAACTACAGGATGAATATCTCTACCTGGATGGTACCTAAAGATTCAGGGCGTTTAGTAATCTAAACCTCTTCTCTAAATCATTATTTCATATACATGTAAAACTCTGAAATAATGCCTATCTCTGAGTTCAGTTCATTCATAAAAAGGATGGTATTTTCTGATATCACTACGTGAATCCTCTCACCAATAGTTCTTTAGTCTCTAGGACATTTTTCTCTAATATTTAGCCAATGTGGCAATGTGATACTGATCTCCAACCTTCCTTTTAGTTGCAAACTCACCTTGTAGCAGTCATTAGCAATGAGCTGTAAGAGACTAAAGGACTCGCCAGAGGTTTCCATCTTGAGATAAAGTTCCCATGCTAGTCTTGGTTTCTTATTCATGATATCTATAAAAGGAAACAAAGATTTATGCTTTTTAAATGTATAAGAAATAACTTCTTATCTTATTATTATATGGATTTGGTTTTATATTCCAAATATACAAAATAATGGTAGAGTACCTCTTACATGGAAAGCTTGCAATACTGGCACTAAGCTGGCTCCCTACCAGAATTCTACCACACTTAAAAAAAAAAAAAGAAGAAGAATTCTATCATACTTAAAATATTTGAGATAGGATTCACATAATGATGTCTTTTAGTCTGGGTTGATTTCCAATAGTTCTCACTTTGCTCATCTGCTTAAAAGAGGATATCTATGATTCATTTCATCCTACTCAAAGTTTCAGCCTCACTTAGAATATCTGATTGCTAAAATTTTCCCATGACTACAAAAACTCAGTGAACATTTTACATCCGAGTGAAAAAAAGGAGCAAGAAAAGATAGATAAATGTGTGTGTGCACGTGCGCGTGAGAGAGGGAGATTACAACGGATCGCAACCCTCAGTGTCGCCCCCGTACCGGACCGGGACCGGCAAGGGGATCGCAGCCCTCGGCATTGCTCCCGTGACTCGCTCAGCCAGTGAGCGGGAACCGGTCTGTATGTGGGATCCGAACCCTCGGCGGGAGCGCCGCCGCACTTCCCAAGCGGCGCACTGTAGCAGTGCGCCACCGGGCCGGCCCGAGGTCATGGTTCTTGACAGTGACTGATAATCTCTCTGGGGGTTAACTCCAGAGTACAGAATGAACACATACCCTGCAGGTACACTGACTACAGAATTCTCCAGATTGTGTTCCAGGGCTTTCATTCTTTCATCCAACTCAAACATCTGCACATGCAATTAATGTGGCTTGGTCTCCATTATCACTTAAGACAACCTAGCACTTCCAATCTCAAATGGAGAAGTAATTTGCCAAGGAACCACCTAATTCTGATCCTGACTAATTTTTTGTCTGATATTAGAGTCCTATTTGAGGTAGCAAAGGAGTAGTATAACCCACTTTTGCCACTGGCATTCCTAAGACTCTTTACCCTGCTCAATTTTTTTCCCATGGCGCTTATCACAGTTTGATATACTATACAGTCTATTTATATATTATGTTTCTAGTCCAACGGTCCCACTAGACTCTAAGCTCCACCAGGGTAGGGAGTCCTGTTTGTTTTGTTTACTGCTCTATCCTCAACACCTCAATTGTATGCATAGATGAATGAATGAAATGGGGAAGGAAAATCTTATTTAATAATGGTGTTGGTGAAGCATGTATGAATATCCAGGAGTGATAAAAATATCTAACAATCAGTTCAGCATGAGGACTGTGAATCAGAATAGATGCCGGCCATAGACAACTGGCACAGGCAGCCCTATCAGTTTACACTGACTGTCACCCCTCTTTCAAATCTTACACTGAATCTTGACTAATGAAGTCAATACTTTAATAACAAAAATGAAGCCACAAGACTACTAATGGGAAATATAGGTGAATATTATATAACTGTGGCAGTAAGAAAGCACTTCCTAAGCTTGATTCCTATGTAAGAAGTCATTATAGAAATGATAAACTTAATTAAATATGATTTTAATACTTTTATATGGGAAAAAAATACCATAAGTAAAGTAAAAGCAAATGACCCACTGGGTAAATATGATTTTAATACTTTTATATGGGAAAAAAATACCATAAGTAAAGTAAAAGCAAATGACCCACTGGGAAAAAAAATCTGCAATGTGACAAAAGGTTAATACATACATAGCTCTTGAAAATCAATAAAACTAATATTTCGTATCTAAAACTGATTCAAAATTTTAAAATTCTCAGGAACTAAAGAGTAAATTTATTCTCCTTTATTTATTTATTCTCTTATTCCACTTTAGCTGAGATAATTGAGAAGAATTAATTCTAACATTCTCTCCTATTTCTGACCTCCCACCATATAATGTGAAGCCTAGCAGATATATATCCCTAGACAGAGAATCAACTCCACCAGTCAATATATACCCAACTGCAATTATGAGTCATGCTCATAAGTACAGATTTCAGACATACCACATTCACTAGCTGATCCTCCCACCAACTGGAAGAACTGCTGGGCAATTTTCATATGATCCCTCTAAAAAACAAAGCAGAGCTGATATAGAAGAATAAAGTAAAAATATTTTATTTGTATTATTCTTTACTATTCTAATATATTTGTCAGAATTTAACATATACCCTTGTTTTAAATCTTGCCCAAAACAATACTAATTCTTACTAGCATAGCAACAAATAAATTATAACCTGAAACTGAGTTAAAACCTGTGCAGGTTCAGATAGGAAAGAAGAAAAAAAATTCTAATCCCAACTTCTCTCTTAAAAGTATCTTCATTAAGTGAAGTCATTCATTTAACAAATATTTATTACTCTTTTACCATATTTCAGACCTTGGTATAGGAGCTATGGATATAACAAGAAGAAATTTATTAAACTCATTTATTTATTCAAAAAGTATTTACTGCCTATCCACTATTTTAGGTACCGTGGAGTGATCTAGAGATAAAAAGATTTATTTGTATCCCACTTTGTTCCAAAAAGAACTTAACACACCATATTAAAATGGATAAGAGCTTAATTCTAGACAGTGTTTTGATATTTATAAAAAGCTTTCCCACAGAAATGATTTTTCCCATCTTGCAGATGCCTAAATTTTAGCTCAGAGATGAGCAAGTTTTTAAAAAATAAGATGAATTTAAGAAGTAAAGATATAAAAAAAAAAGAAACTGTACAATGATTTTTTTCTTTGTTTGTTATATAAAAGCAGTCTAAAAATAGGGCTCTTTTTAAAATTTTTTGAGGAATCTCCATACTGTTTTCCATAGTAGCTGTAGTAATTTACATTCCCACTAACAATCATCACACTGTATCCCATAAATATGTACAATTATTACGTGTCAATAAAATTTTTTTAAAAATAAAGTAACTTGAAGTAAAATAAAATAAAATAAAAACAGGGCTTTAAAAATGAAGCAGGAATTTTTAGGGGTAAAGCTTTTTTTTGTCTCTAAATAACATAGAATCCTTTTTACAAAGAATTTTTAGAGTCTGGATTGGGGGATTTGAAGGAACTGCAGAAGAGCCTGTTTATACGCTCACTGCTGGTTGCACTTGTATATTCATTTTGATCTTCTCCACACGCCTATAACTTCACAAACTATACATTACCAGTGCTTTCATACTCACTGAACCCATTTCCTGACCAAGCGCTGCATTAACCACTCCTTTGAGGATATATTCCTGGAAACATGGATTAACACTGATTAATTAAAGAGGAATGTGAAGCTACGAGACAGATATCTTTCAAGTTAATTCCTTGCATCTGCTCAATACTTTATGTATATATTATCAAAAGTTACCCAGAGTCACTTTTCTCTGTTCTATCCCCGGCTTGAATGAAAGAATTAGGAGATTTGCATTTAGTTTCCAGCAGGCAAATGTTCATATAACAGAATTCACCATATTTGTAAATTCCCAGTCTTAAGCAGAAATAATTCAGTGAAAGCTCCAGGAGATTTTTTTTTTTTTTTAATTCAATGGAAAAGAAAAAAAACGGTAAAATGTTCATGCAGTAGCTTTTATCACCCTATCAGCCACTGCCATTCTCTGTGACCATATCATATATGTTATTTTCCCTTTCCGATTTTATAACAACCTTCCTTTGTTAGTGATTCTTTTCCTCAAAAAAAAAAAAAAAAAAAAAAAAAAAAAA